TCCATGGGAGAGGAAAAGGGGCTACCAGAAATACCTGAGGAATACAGAGACCTTGCTGAAGTTTTCAGTGAGGAGAGGGCGGATGAGCTCCCCCCCCACCGGCCCACAGACTGTGCCATTGAATTCAAGCCTGGGGCAAAACTCCCAAAGCCCAGAGGAGAAGGAGGAAATGGAAAGATTCATAAAGAAAAACCTAGAAAGGGGGTTCATTGAGCCAGCCAAGCCTAAAGTGGCTGCCCCGGTCCTCTTTAGAGAGAAGAAGGATGGCTCTTTACGCTGATGCGTGGATTATAGGGCCCTGAATACAATCAGTGAAAGCAACCTATACCCTCTGCCCCTCATGAAAGACATGTTGTCACACCTCTCGAAAGGGAATTTTTTTTCTAAACTAGACCTAAGGGAAGCTTACTATCATGTGAGAATTAAGGAAGGGGATGAATGGAAGACCGCATTTAACTGTCCCATGGGGTGCTACCAATTCAAAGTCTTGCCATTTGGATTACAAGGGCCCCCCGCAGTATTTATGCAATTAATCAATGACGTTCTAAGGGAGCACCTATTTAAGGGGGTCCTGGTTTACTTAGACAGCATTCTTATCTTCACTGAATCAAAAGAGGAACATGTCAACCTAGTCAGAGCGGTTTTAAAGAAACTGCGAGCCGCCCACCTATATGCCAAACTCTCGAAATGCGAATTCCACCAGGAAAGGATAGACTACCTAGGTTATCGCATATCCCCACAGGGCATTGAAATGGACCCAGAGAAGGTCAGAGCAGTATTAGAATGGGCACCACCCCGCACAAGAAAGTAACTGCAAAGTTTCCTGGGCTTCGCAAACTTTTACCGCCAATTCATCCCCTCATTTGCCCAGATAGCCCTGCCCCTCACAAACTTACTAAAAATGAAGGGAGCATCCTCAGTAAAACCTAGCCAGCCACTAACATGGACAATGGAGTGCCAAGCAGCATTTGAGAGATTAAAGAGACTTTTTTCTGCCGAACCAGTTCTGAGGCACCCAGACATGGATAAGCCCTTTGTAATACAGGCGGATGCAAGTGATGTGGCAGTGGGGGCTGTACTATTACAAGAAAACGATGAAGGGGTATTGCAACCCTGTGCGTATACATCCAAGAAACTCACGGAAATGGAACAGCGCTGGCCCGTGTGAGAGAAAGAGGCATACGGGATACGTTGGTCATTACTCACGTGGCGCCAGTTCCTTGAAGGCAACAAAATCCCTTTCCAGGTGTGGACTGACCACAAAAATTTGGAAGCCCTGAAAACACCCAGGAAGCTCAACTCCAAGCAAGCCCGCTGGTCCCAGCATTTTCACCAGTTCCAATTTACGCTCAAGCATTTACCGGGGGGAAAGAACTTCCTGGCAGATGCACTATCTTGCATGTCCCAATATAACAGCACGCAAGCCACCGACTTTAAACCGATGATGGTAGAATCACAACTGGCAGCGCCAGTAACCACCAGAGCCCAAGCTAAATTGAAACCACAGCTGGGCAGCCAAACCGGAATTGAATTCCGGAAAAGTTGGAAATAGATGAATGGTTTCAGAAAAACAAAAATGTGTGCACAATGAGAGACGGGCTGTCTTGGGTGGGGGAAAAGTTATATATACCAACAACCCAAAGAGTCACATTCATGCAGCTTTGCCACGACACAAAATCAGCAGGGCATTTTGGTTTTGTAAAAACATTATACTTAATTAAACGGCAATTTTGGTGGCCATCCATAAAAAAGGACATAGAAAGTTACGTGGCCAGCTGCCCAAAGTGTGCAACTGCAAAGAGGTTGCAAGGGAAATCGCCCGGACTGTTACAAACAGTGGCAAATCCCTCAGCCCCCTGGAGGGAAATAGCCATGGATTTTATAGTGGAATTACTAGAAAGCAATGGGAATACTGTTGTCTGGACGGTCACGGACTTGTTTTCCAAACAGGTGCACTTTATCCCTTGCCAAAAGATTCCCACCGCAAAAGCCTTAGCGAAACTCTTTGTCCAGCATATTTACAGATTGCATGGGGCACCCCAACGCATCATCTCTGATAGGGGAGTGCAATTTACGTCTGCATTTTGGAAGGAATTTTATCCCTCTTAGGGACCACTCAGGGACTGACATCTAGCCATCATCCACAAGGGGATGGACAAACAGAACGCTGTCACTCAGTACTTAAGCAATATTTAAGATGCTTTATTGATTTTCAGCAAACAAATTGGACGGACCTACTCCCTTTCGCAGAAGTTGCTTACAATAATGCAGTCCACTCCAGCACAGGTTACACTCCTTTTCAAATAGCCACCGGTCAAAGTTTCAACCCCATGCCAGAATTAACCCCAAACAAACTGGCGATCCCATCACTGAAAGAATGGATGGAACAATTACAAAACACCTGGCCAATAGTTAGAAAAGCACTAGATGAAGCTAGGCAGGCATACAAAGCACAAGCCGATAAAAAAAGGGTTGAGCCTACACCATTCATTATAGGAGAAATGGTGTACTTATCTACAAAATACCTAAAGTCCCTACAACCCTGTAAAAAACTGGGACCAAAATATATAGGACCTTTTCCAATTAAAAGAATCATAAACCCAGTAACAGTAGAATTAGAATTACCCAAAAATCTCAGGCAAATACACCCAATTTTTCATTGCAGCTTGCTGAAAAGAGAGCATCAGTCATCATTACAACCAAAAATCCCCCCACCAGCACCTCCAATCATGGTGGAGGGTGAACAACACTTCGAAATAAAGGAAATCCTAGATTCTAGAAGATATCATGGAGCGACTCAGTATCTAGTTGCTTGGAAACATCTCCCTGCCTCACAAAACAAGTTGGTCCATAAACATCATGTCAGAGCCCCGAAGCTATTAAAGAAGTTTCACACAGAGTATCCTAATAAGCCTGACTAATTTTTATACCTGTTTTGTTTTCTTTCAGGTGGATGTCTCTTATTTTTAAGGGGGCAGGATGTCAGAATCCAATTATATTTCATCTCTAGTTATCGACTATGGAAAACCCCATTTCTGCCCTCTCTGGATTCTGCCATATGATGAAAGGGAAGGGGGTGAACAAAGGGGTTTTATGGCCCTCACTTCCTTCAGTACAACTTCAAAGGGATTGAATGTGGATACCACCAAAAGGACTAATCATAACAATGGGGCCATCAGCTTTCATCTAATCCCCTCTGAAGTCTCCCTTCCACCGGCAATGAGGAAAAAGGGGGTGGAAATGTAACGCCTGGGATTGTCGTTGGAAGGATGGTGGGGTGGGGTGGGGCTGTTGGGAACCCCTTAAAACCTTGAACCATAGGGCTTTGGCCCCAAGTCCTGTCTAGAACGCCTGCAGCCATTTTCTCTTAATAAAGATGCCTGTTGGAAGAAATATTCCAAGAGTTCTGTCTTCTTAAGGTGCAAAGTGGGGTGGGTCCTTACATGCTTATTGTAACTTGTGGATATTCTATTCCTTTACAAGTTCTAAGGAACAAATTTTGAGATTGTTTTGTCATCATAACTGGGTTAAGGGCTTTAGTTTTTGTGGACAGGATGAGTAATTAAAACTATTATAGTGTTAAAACTGTCCATTCTTGCCTGAAAATTTATATATATATATATATATATATATATATATATATATATATATATATATATATATATATATATATATATATATATATATATATATATATATATATATATATATATATATATATATATATATATATATATATATATATATATATATATATATATATATATATATATATTAGTTATTGCATGAATCTTTGCAATGGTTGTCCTAGTTAAGTTTTACAGAAGAAAGGTTGTAATTTCTTGATCAGAAAGAAAACTAAAGTTTTGATAACTGGGTTTATGAATGCCAGGCACCATGGGTGGTGCAATGGGCAATGTAGTAATACATGCATTATCAATTATCTCTGTATTTGAGCAAAAGCACACACGACTGTGGTGTGGGAGACTAGTAGATTTGCTCACCACAATAGATAATGCATCATTTCAAGCTAAGGTAAAAAAAAAAAAATGTCCTGTGTGAGATATTCAGCATGTTACAAATGATCGTAGTTTAGAAGCCATTCAGTCTAAGTTTCTGAAAGCCATATTCTGTCTTTCATTCAACTTCAAATGCCTTTGCTTGGCTAATGCTTGGATGCATATGAGATTTTGTTACTGTATTTCAGGTTTTGGCTGAAACAAATAATTCAAGGTACATTTCTGATCTATCTCACTGCATTTGATAGGTTTTCCTTGTCCTTGAGGAGGCAAAATGATTCCAATCTAGCATATTGTGGCATCTGACTTGCAGGAGACAATATTATCTACTGGCCCAGACCGAGCCTTGACTTAACACCAAGAGAAGATCTGGCATTCATCCATATTATGATGCAACTGCAGGTTTTCCATGGACAAATCCCAGCATACCCAGAGTACGTTAATCCCAGAATGTATTCATTATGTAGATTGGGGTACACGATTCTAACACCAAAATTGTGAGCCCTCTTGAATAGTAATAAATTTATGATGACTGACATTACCAGATCACACTTCAAAATTCCAGGAAAGGGCAAACATAAACATAATTTTCACTTATGCTTTATGGAAAATAAAAATGAGGCCTTTTAAGGAAAAGAAAATGTTAGGAAGTGCTCCAAATCTGACCTTGGTCATGCAGTTCTTGTGTTTTATTGATGGAGATAACCTGAAATTTTGACTATAAAACCCATAATACTTAAGTTTTAGTTCTTAAGCAAAAGGTCTTATTAAAATGTCAGATGCCCAACAGTGCTATTCTTGGAATAATATATACATTCAAAATAAAACCATTGGTTTTAAATTTTCAAATTAAAATTATTAATTAGAATTAATACTGCAATTTCATATTTAACTTTGCTGCAATAATTTCTTAAGTATGGAAAATGGAATTTTAAAATAAAGGTGTTTTATTGAGAAAAAAATAACCCTGCTGTAACTTACGTGGACACTTTTTGACACAAAAAGCACCATAAGTATATTTGCCATCTCGGTTGGTTTCCATCTGAAATGTGGCAGGATTGTAGACTGAAGTCTGTGGGCATTGTGTGACACAGGCGCCACTGTCATTAAAATTCATACAAGCCTGGAAGTGAAGAAATAGCAGTGTTCTCAGAGTTTTCATCGGCATTTAATGAACTGACATTATGTTAAGTAAAATCTGACTGCAATCTTGTTTGGCTATTAGCAACGCTAGATAGAAAGAACTTATAAAGAAGGCAGTGAAGAGAGCAATACCTGTATCAGCTTAATATGCAAAAGGTAAATGTCAATGCTGTTTAGATGAACATTGGATGAACACCGGACAAAAGCAAAAAAAAAAAATGTTATGATGAGAGACATCTTAAGTTAGCAAGACTAAATGTCAAACTGATGAAGACGGTACAAAAAAACTGGAAACCTATTTACATTCAGTTTAATTTCAATTCTCGCTGTTCTTTGTGAGAATTCTTTGTGAGTAAATCTGCTGAAACAGTAGAGCTGCAGTGATACATGCTTCTTTGCTTTGCTCATGTAAACAAATACCTACCAGCACACAGAGAAAGACAGATGAATGTCTTATCTAGCAATTTTCACAGCAGAGTATTATAGGTTAAAAAAAAGCAGTCTATGTTAGAACATCTCTTAATTCATTATGTTGAAATATTGTTAATTAGTATATAACATCATTCACTTATTTCTTTCTACTAATTCCATTATTTTTATCTATTATTGTCTTTCCAGACAATAATAGATAAATTTCTCATTGCAACAAATTGAACAGTAACTGCGTAATGAAAATCTATTTTTTAAAAAAGTTTATGGCTACAAAACCTTGTTGAACCTGTATCTGACAGCCCCTTCAGCTGAATTGAAGATAACTGATCCAGCAACAGCTCAGGATCTGTCTCTTGCCTGTTATCAAGTGCTGCTTAGTTGCCTTTTCCAGGCCACAGAAACAAAAAAAGCCACAATGAATTCAAGTTCATTGTAGATTAATCCACCTGTTCTGGGTTCAAGAAGAAACCCAGCTTGTTTATTCAGATGTTTCAGGCATAAGGGTGAGCTATTTGGGTCAAATAGCCCACCCTTATGCGCAATTGTGGAAAGCACAATACCTATAACTGGATCTCTCCAAGCCTGAAAAAAAAAATAGATACATATGCAAAGGCAGGATCTGGTAACTATCACTGGGAGAAGGTTAAGGTTTCCACCAGATAGTTTTACAGATCTAACAAAGTTAAATTAGTTTCTGAAAGCTATTTTTCTTCTGGAAAAAACATGCACACTTTTACATTTTACACTTACATTTTTTAGAATACCCATCTGATAAACTGCCATTTTGCTCCTAGTATCTTATTCCATTTAACTTTAATGTTAATCTTTGAATTTGATTTTCCACTTTAACTTTAGCTCTGGAATTAAATAACTATTGTTCTCTTCCCCTGAGCAGTTCCTAATTCAAATTTCTCAAATATGTACTCAATTGGTTCTCCATCTTCAAATGTTGCCAAAATATTTTAATCATTATTATTATGGTAGTGGTTATATTTTATGTTCCTTTTGCAAGCAAACCCCCTGCAATGAAATAATAGAATTAAAGCACCTTTATTAAGAGCCACAAAAAAATTGACCATAGGAGGAATAAAATGATATAAAGCTAAAGTGGTCTTCACTCAAAAACTCACACATATAATGGATTTTAGGAAGACCTGGCCTACAATAAAATTAAATGGAAGGATTTTCATAGATTTCATACTTCTTACATCTCTCAATACCTAATACCCCCTTTCACAGCAGAGAATTCCTTGTGAAGACTGAAAAACGGAATGTTTTTTTCAAAAGTGCACCAGGGCAATGAGAAAAAGATTGCTGTTCCCATGACATAATGTCTGCTCTAATGAGCCCAAGCATCTGAAGCATGGACATAAGTACAGCAATGCTTTCCTCTTGGTATCTTGGGGCAGAACATCAGAAGCTGCCTCAAATAGAAGATAGACCACCAAGAAAGAAACAGAAGTTGCCTCCTTAGGTAGATTGTTCTTCGGGAAACATGATTGAAGTTATTTTTGATGTGTGTATTATCTTTCATTTAAAATCAAAGGTCTAGATGGATTACCCACATCTGTAATCTATTAATTTTAGGCAAGTAAATAATGCATGTCACTTAAGATGATATTCTCACCAATTAGCATATAAATGGTTCCAAATCTCTAGTTGCAAATCTTATAAATGTTTTAATGGGTGAAATAAGTTGGTAAGTAACAGGAACATAATAGAAAACATGAATGCTAAGATGTCTGGTGGATATCTTACATGCTATATGCAATATAATAAAAGTCCAAAACATATTTAAAAATTTCTTGGAGTAAAATACCACAATGAACAAAGTGGTATGAAAGAAAGACTTCTGAAACCTACAAAGCAGTCAGTGTCTTTGGGTCCGGAACAGCCTCCTGCACATTCTCGATGACAACATTCGCTGACAGAATGCCCATAGCATCGGCCATCACACTGCTCTGCACACACCACTTTTGTTACTACAGGGGACAGAAGAAGAGCACACAGATCAGAGGAGAAATTGGGAAACATGGTCTAGGCTGCAAATGGATTGAGAAAACATAAAGCAGCAAGAACTGACGAGGGCCTTTTCTACAGATACCAATTACTTGATGACCTGGCCGAAAAAAAGGTGAACACTAAAGCAAATATCTTTTCAACTAAAGAGGGAGAAAATGTAGAGGTGGGGATTATCATTACAACTGGAGTTCATGGAAAAGTTCATTAAAATGATAATGAAATGCATTTATTTACCTTAATTATATACTCCCATATTATATAGAGAGCTGTGATGGTGAAATGAAGGTATTAGATATCTCCTAATCTAATCACTAATATACAAGCACTTGTGGGAATGGAGCATCTTTTCCAACAATTTATATCAGAGAGAGGTAGACTCTTAGTTCTCATATTTTTTTAAAGAAAAGTGACAAACAATATACAAAAGAAAATTGTCTAGCATTCAGTGTAAAACTGGTAAATTATAAATGATCCATTTTTACTTTTTATTGTAAAATTGTGTTCAGATAATTACGCGCAAGCTATTTGGTATGTTATTTTACTCCTTTACCTTTTGTGTACATTAGTATATTTCTAATCAAACTTAATGCACATATTGATAAAACTTGAAAAAGATATTTTAATATGAAGGCATAATAAAATTGAAACCTTAAAAATGTATAAATGTGTGTTAATTGTGCTTTATTTTATTAATATGCACAACACTCATTTTAGGTTATAGCTAATAGCGTCTATTAATCTAAAATATTTTAATGAATATTTTAGGAAATTATATAAAAAGAAAAGGAAAAAGACAAAAAGGATAAAATAGAATTACTTATTAAAATTTTATAAATATAATAAAACAATGTTTTTACAATATTTCATTAAATTTAGGATTATATATAACTAAGTATATTGAATTGCTAAAAAAAAACCTGAAAATTGCTATTAAACTCTAACTCTTTTAGAATATAAAATCATGAACAGTGGACAGCACAGTAGCAAAGCATAGGAAGAAAGGAAGATTTCTTGCCAGCTTCCCATTAGTAAACTTGGGGGAAGTCAACAGGAAATTGGAAGTTGCTCCCTTTCACAGTCCATCTATGGTCATTCTGTTTCTCTGTTTAGGTAAGGACCTATCTCTGAAACACAATGTATCACACCATGTCAAATTGTTGTTTAAAAATGGCTTCCAAGTAAATTAAATTCTGTGTTAGATTTACTTTTAAGGTACAAAATTATTTTAAACTTTGAAGCATGTTATATTTACATCTATTACATCAAGTGACACTGGTTATATAATACTTAAGAAATACTTGAAATAAAATTTGACTGTTTGCTGATGCGAGGATTGCAGTTTTACCCCTACCAATAAGAAATTTCAAATTTAATTATTGATTACTCTGATTTTATTTCCAATTTCTTTCTTTTGTGTTTCTTCACCTGAATAAGATCTAATTTTACAAAGATTCTAATTTTTAAAACATCTGTGGATTACAATCACCAATTCATAAAATGAAAATCCACACCAAAAATCAAATGCACAGTCCTATGAAATATCTTACCATCAGGGAGGCAGATGTCATTGAGTCCTATCATAAGAGACTTATAGAGATTAAACATTCCTGCTTTTTGAAATCTGTAAATACAGTCAGCAAGCAGATGGCAATCTTCAAAATAATTTATTAGATAAAACTCAGAACACTCAAACCAGTTTTAAAATGTTTCAATCTTCAATGATTATTTACATTTTTAAAATCTTCAAAAGTGAATGTTCTAAAATGCACAATTAATTTTTTTTAAGTTTACTGAGGATTACTTTATTTTTGCTAGCAAAAATACATGACTCTAGCATAGACACTTTTAGGATGAATAATATCCTTAGCAATTCTAATCAGGTTCATCCTCAAGGTCTCCCAATAAGACATCCATTGTTTATTAAGAATACCCTGTTCAAGGAAATCTGTCAAAATATTTACCAGTTTACTAAAATAATAAAATAAAATAAATTTAAATAAAAATAATAAAATGAAATGAAATGAAATAAATAAAATTGGTTAACACAATAAAATAAATGTACACAGCTTCAGGATGATGGTGGGGGAATCAAATTATTAAAATCTGATGCAGTAAGAATTCTTTCACCTGCTTCCAAAAGTCAGCTTCATTTGATTTGCATGCCATCTGCTTTCCTGAGAGACATCTGCAAATCTTACATTAGATATTAGATGGAACACTCACAAGAATAAGGAGTGTTTATGGTTTAAAGGTCAAATCAAACCCCCAAACTGGGCTCAGTTGATCAGTCAGCTATCTCATTCAAGCAGTTAGGTTTTCTTTTATTCAGCTTGTGTCTTTCTTTATTCTGGCCCCCATCCTGAATTTAGAATTTTGTCCTGAACTGTACAATCATAAAAACCTCGAAAAAAGAAGCAAGTAATTATAGATCAGACTTCAACTTAATGTTTTAGTTCTGAGTTTTATTTGATGTAACTAAGGTGTAAGGCTAGACTATTTAGTTAAGCTCTCCATGGTCAGATTCTTCTGTTTATTCATTGCTGCCTCTCATTTGCAAGACATAAAATGAAAATCAGTGTTCAGTTTTATGCACATTTGTTTAGAAGCATGGTTTTAGTAGAACTTGCTTTTTGGCAAACAAATTTAAGGCTGGAAAGAGGCTGTAAATCCTCTGGGCAGAACTTGTATCTCTTCTATGACTCAATCAGTATTTTTGTTACTATAGTTTAATATATTACACTAGATATTGATTCACATGAGCTAAAATCCTAGAAAAGTAGATTTCAGTTACATGTTTTATGACATTCAAAATATGTAATTGGCTCTTATGACATATTGATAAATATAAAGATAGAGGTACAGATAAAAGTACAGTGAGCAAATATCATTAGGGAAGTAAACATGAAAGCTAAATTCACTCTGATATAATTTAAAATATTAAAAATGGGAGACAGAGAAATATACAATAACAGGTAATAACGTTTAACTGCAACAAGGCTTTTTAAATAACTCCTCTCACAGAAATGCATCCTTTGAATAAAATTCAGTGTCAAACTTCAAACTTTTCATAACCTATTTATTGCTAACCCTAGTAGCCAGGTTTACAAGATTACAGAACTAGGAGCATTCTTACTAGAAACTCTCATTAATGTTTGTATTAATGAATTAACATGAATTATTTCCTCTTATTCCAAAAGGGTTTGTATTAAGAAACAGGTTTTCATTCCTGTCCATTTACAATTGAGTTACGACAGGAAGTCCCTGGGGTATCTGCAGCCAAAATGATGGCCATGCGTAGCACATAAAATCAGGCAGAACTTCAATCGCAGTATTGTGGCCACCATCTGGCTTTGTTAGCACTTCGAGAACACCCTTGGAAAGTTCTCTCTTCCTTGTCTTGAAATTCAGATAAAAATGGCTACATCTAAAATAGGTTTTTCACTCATCTTCTTTGCAAGAGTTCCACCTATTTAATCCTTGCTACTTGGCCTCAATTGGCAGAGTTGTTCTCACTGTGGAAGTGTCTGAGAACATTAAGATAGATCATTAGCATGACTAACTACTGTAATTTACATATTTTGACTAGCCCTTCCGCCAGAACAAGTTAAAAAAATCACTGACATCCGTCTCAATTCTCCTGGCTATTTTGTTAATCTTTGGCTTTTCTATGGGAGCACTCTATGGTAGAATAAATTATTATTATTCTAATAAACCTGTTCCTAAAATAACTACATCTATTTTCTGTATTTTGAAATTTTAATCCTCTATCACATCTTCTCTTGCTACCTGGGTCCTACTTATGTGTACTAGAATGCAAGAATAAATTATTGGGAAATTTCACCATTTTGGTCTCTATTTTTACTTGTTCTTTATTTATTTGTTTTCCCCCTTATTCATATTGTATTTTATTTTCTCAGTTATATTGTGAGTCCCCCAGAATTGTTTTGGAGTCAAGTGGTGCCTAAATGAAAATAATAACAACTCCATAGTAACTCATTACTCAGACTTCCTTTTTTCCTCTCTCTATATTTACACATATACATGTATCCCGCTAAACCTTTCTGTTATAAATTAGTTGAGCTGTTCCTGTGCATTAATGAGCACAAAACAATCACAGGTGCCCTGCTGATGCACATAATGGGTCAGATCATAACTACTAAAAGTAACTTACTTGGTATTTAAATCTGTCTGTTCTCCAGTGCAATGGGAACAGCAGACAATGGAAACTGATACCTCTTGGCCTGCTTTCTCACTGGTTTCCAGGTACATTTATGAAAGTGGTGTGAATAGTTGGATTACTTAGTTGGGTTACACAGTTGCATGTAATTAATCATTGTAAGTGTTTTCTTTAATTCTCTATTACATAGAATTATAAATCTACCAAGTGGGAGAGAAATGGAAAATAGCTGAAATCAATAAGAAGAACATGTTAAGTTATTAGTGCAACACAAGGATTTTAATTAAAGATGTCGATCTTTAGTTAAAATGCTAAGTTCACATAATTGATCTAGAGATGTTCAGTTTTTTCCTCACAAGCTCTTGTCTTTATCTTATGGAAATATATGTAATTATTTTTTTCTTTGGATAACCTCTTATTTTTTTCATATTACATATTATTTATCCATCCATTCATCAACTTAATTAGGCATTTTCAACTACTTGGGGTCTTCAAAATCATACGATCCTTGTCTTTTAAGGATACTAAATAAATATTTTCACCACAAAAGCTTAAGGAAATTGCCAGGTTAGTTCCCAACTACAGGGATCTATAATACTCACCTCAAAGAAAAGGAGACACACATTATAAATGCTTTGAATTATTTTCTAATTTAAAATGCAAGCTGTAAAGTATTCCTAATTCATTACTGAATTCACAAATGCTTCTACAATATCATCTAAAATGATTAGTAGTCCATTTTTCTCACCAAAAAGTACGACATATGAATACTTTGCTCTCTAGAAATTAATATTCTGTGCTTTATTTCCTTCCAAATAGGAGTATCCATTGTCTACAAATGCCATGCATATCATATTTTAATGGCAGAATGTGATGGTGCTTATAGCAAATTCCTCAATCAATGGCAAAACATGGATTCCTTTCACTCAAAGGAAGCTCTGTGAGATCTGCTGCAGTTTCTTTTGGACTGAGACAACACAGTTACAGGAAGTTTGAATATTCAGATGTTTGGATCAGGCAGTATTGAGTGATCAGTATGAAAGCTAAAAATTCCAATTGAATTTGGGAATGAAATTAAGACCAGAATGAGCCCTGTTCAAATTTACAATCTACCAATGATTATAAGAACAGAATATTTATAGTGGAAGTCACCTTGCATGAGAAAAATCATACTTAATTATTCTAGAGAGAAAAATATATATGGCAAATTTAATTTATGCCATATAACCAATGAGTAGTCCTTAATGGTACTATATCTACATGGAGGGAAATTGTCAGGTCCCCTCAAACCTCATTCTCATGGCTCTGCCATTCTGTTGGGAAGGAGGAAAGTCTTGTGGGCTCTGGGATGTATTTCTTTTACTTTGTTCTCTTCACCTTTGATGTATCTCTTTGGGTGTGAAAGGGGGGGGGAGGAATGTGCCTGCGTCCATCTGCCTTATCTCTACTCTGCTGGGAAGAGACCGTGAACCTTATTGCTCCAGTTCCCATAACAACTTCACACCTGTGGATTGGTTGAAGTCAAACTGGACAGTTGGGCACTAGGGAGGGGGTTTGGAAGGGGCATTTTAATGTAATGTTTCATTCGGGAATTATTCAGCTCTTGCATTGCTTTTCTGCTTTCACTACCTCTCAATAAAAGTTCCTTTTGAAACAATGCCAGTTTCAGGGACTCTGCTTTCTTGGGAGTGCTAGCTGAGGCAGGACCTTACAGAAGCAAGCAGTGGGGTACCATAAGGTTCTGTCTTAGGCCCAGTACTCTTCAATACCTTCATAAATGACTTAGATGAGGGAATAGAAGGAAAACTCATCAAATTTGCAGGTTACACTAAACTGGCAGGAATAGCCAATACCCCAGAAGATCCAAATAGATCTTGACAGACTTGAACAATGTGCCCTATCCAACAACATGAAATTTAATCTTTTTCAAGGTCTTGATAGATAGAGATCACTGAGTAAATAAATCACTACCTCTTTTCTTTATATCAAGAAGATATTTCTTTCTATCAAAACTCAAAGTTAGGGTCAATGTTTCTGCCTATGCTGCCAAGATTTTTTCCTCCTTTCTTCTTCATATTTTTAGCTGAACATTTATTTAGTATATATATTAAGTCCAAACCTTTAAACATTTTGGTATACATGCCAACCACTCCTTTCCTTTTATCCACCAAGTTTTCATCATTTGTGTCTGTAACCATGAAGATCTCAGTGATGTTAGTTGTGTTACTAAGGATTTGAATTTACAGTAATTCCAGTAAGATGGATTCCTATATGTCAGCAATCATACATGTATACATTTTCATCTGGCAGACTTTAAAACCAATGTGATGATTTCTAGTTGTGGGGAACTTTCTATGATTCCTGAGCAGACTGTTTGACTTTGGTGGTAGGTAAAAATTCATTACAGATATTTGTCTAAGTAAAACTCATTGAAAAGCAGGTAAATAGAAATATGGAACATAGTAAGTGAAATAGGTAAACTCAATACAGGCTTCGGATTTGTAGATTTATTTAGACGAAAGATTATTGAGGATTGCTATGATTGATTTAGTTGTATTGTAATATATCAATTTGAATATAATATGTCATTAGAGGGAAAAAAGAGGAGGTTTTTAATGACTTAACTTGAACTTTATGAATATGACTTTGTTTTGTGGACAATTGACTGCCCTGCCACCACGTTGTTTCTTAAGCACTTGTTTGTAAAATGAAAAAAACCAATACAACTTGTTTAAAAAAAAAAGAAAAGCAGGTAGAAAGATTGTGCCATAGTTTTTATTTCCATTGGTTTCTCATTAAAAAAAAGGTTAAAGTCTGAATGTATTTCATAGTCTGTTTTACTATTTCAGGACTATACTGATTATTTTCATATCATAATAAGGTTATGTCAATGAGAAAAAAATATTCATAACATAATTATTTGATAAAAAAATTCAATAATAAGTGAACAGCATGATTTCCAGTTTGTATTAAGGTTTTCTTCTCACTTTAAAAATATTTGTTACTCATATTTACTTACAACTTTGGCACTGATCTGCTGAAGGTCCCCAGCATCGATTTTCACAGGATTTGTGACACTGTCCACCTTTAGAAAGAGTAGAACAAAATTAAGAGATTATTTGCAGCCTATTTTCTTCAATGCCCTTAAAGGTTCCTTGGAAAAATCTGCCATGTTTCCTATATACATGAATTAAAGGTAATTTATGATAGAACTATGGATCCTGTTTGCACCATTTTGTCTTTGATGGCTACTGTAGAAATGTAAATGCTTAACAATAAAAATCTTTTTCCAACTCTATATTTGTATAAGATGTCCAAGCAATAAGAAAAAAGGTAAAGTAGAGAGAAGAAATTAACAGGTCAAAAGAAAAGTAAAAGCCTAAAACCCATAATCCAAATTTCACAGTGGAGCATCAGTATACCTTCAGACATCTGCCTTGGCACCTTCCAGGGATGATGCCTCCCTGATTTTATTTTATTTAGTTTGGGTTTTTTAAAATTACAGTCATATTCATGGGAGACCAGATTGCTAGATAAAAGCATCAGTCCAAAACAGCATCTTTATTTTCAACAATGCACCTAGAGACTTTGGCTCTAGAGTAATTTTTCAGAAATACAACTGGTGGAAAGTCCATTCTATTGCTTGGAATTGTAGAATCACAGTGTTGGAAGATGCCATTCAGGCCATTGAATCCAACTACCTGCTCAGTACAGGAGCCCAAATTAATGCATCCTAGTTGGCCATCTAGCCTTGCTTGGAGACACTCAGTGAAGAGGATCCTACCATATCTTTGGATAATTGGTCCCACTGTAAAACTGTTTTTCCTTATTCTAATATGTAACCTGAATTTATCTTTGCCAGAAACCATTGGGTAGTGACAGCAGAGAGACCTCTCTGACAGAACTGATTAGTGTTTGATAGCAAGACCAACCACAGCTTGATACACAAAGTAGATAATTTCTTGTAAGGTCAGACTGGAACATATTGTCTGCAATGCCACTTTCTGGCAACTCCTGTTAAAGACCAAATTTCTTTTCTTCATGCAATTAAATCAAATAACTGATCCTGTCCCAGGCCAATATTTTGAGGAGAAAGTTATATTCTTATATTTCTATGCAAAATAATATACGCTTGTTAAAATTATGTTTACTGTATGTTTGTTCATTTTTTTGATGTTCCTCATTGTACTGGCTTGCTTCTGCATGCCTGCAGAATTCCAGAAATGACAATATATAAACTTTTTTTGCTGTTCTCTTTTTGGTGCACCCCAAGTTCCATAAATGATGAGTAAAGCAATTTTTAAGAAGGAGAGCTAAGACATAAGTTTCCATGAACCTTTGGCCAGGAGTTCAAACAAGAATTCTGGGATAAAGTCAAAAATTGACTCAGATTTCCAATATGAATCCTAAACTTTGGCTCTTTTCTTTTTCTTAACAGAAACAAGATGGTAATATTTAACATGTAAGCTTAAATGTTTGAAACTGTTTTGGTATGAATTACCCTTCTTAATGCTACAACTAAATATAAATATTTCTGCTGTATAGAGAAGTACACTTGAAGAATATGGAGGTCATGGAGAATATATACTCATATATACTCATTTGCCTTCATTCATAATATAGACTCAACCAAATGACATCACTTTATGGCAACTGTATAATATTGTTAGAATATATTAATTATGTTATACAACAGTTGCACATGTATGCTAACCACTTCATTAAAAACATCAGGCCCAAGGTTCATTTGAAGCAATTATGAATTTTTTTTTATATCAGCATGTAGTTTTCTGCTATTGCTTGGCATCTGGTTATTGGGATCAAGACTTCCATTATAGTTCTGACATGCAAGCCCATTCTGATCAAGAGGAAAGGAATACCATCTGGCACAAAGAACAGAACATTAACCTGTAACAATTGTGAAAATTGTTATTAAACATCCCCTGAAGCACTCTATAGAAAACTAGCTACACCAAATTGCCTTAGGAAAAAAATATTTAGGAATGAGGGAGAGTAAGTAAATAGTGAAGAATTATGACATTATACTGTATAAAAGAAACTGAACATCACTGGGAATACTACCCATTGAAGTATAGTCTTATGCATCTGGCAAACTTAAATCCTATTGATTTTTGGATAAGGCTATGTGTTAAATAATATTTTCAGTTTGTTATGACATAATCCAAAAGACAGGCTCAAATCTCAGTCTGGTGAATAAGACTGCACTTTCTGCTTTAAACTGATTCAGGAGGCCAATTTGACTTGGGGCTCAAATCCAATTCTGTATGGACAACTCTTATTTCCTCTTTTTCTCTGAATTTATTTTATATTGAACAGAACTGTAATTTTCAAGAATATTTTATTTAAACCAGAATTATACATGTGCCACATATATATTCATGCCCATGGACAGCCCTAATTATATCTGCACCAAGTGCAAAGTGATTGGATTGCTGGAAGAGAAAATGTCCTCTTTTTCTCTTGCTGGGGTGAACAACACGACCAAGAGTCTGGAAACAGTATCTATGGATTACAAGCAGCTAGACAGGAAAGCAAAACAATATGGGGCACAGGTAGTCTTCTTTTTCATACTGCCAACCATAGATCAACATCCAACAAGGCAATGGGGAATTTTAGAAGTAAACCGCTGACTCAAGGGATGGTGTTGTCAAGAGAACTTTGGATTTCTAGACCATGGTTTATATTACCACAGAAAGGGTTTTTGGTAAGAGATGGGCTGCATCTTATAAAAACTTGGAACAATGTATTTGGAAACAACTGGCTTGGCTCATCCGAAAGACATTAGATAAAACTAGAGGGGGAAGGAGAACAATGTTTAGGACCAAGCCCAAAGCATAAATCCCAAGAAAACAAATCAGGCAATGAGGAAGAGCATGATGAGAAAACAAGAGACAGGAATGCAATAGGAACTGGAGAAAGGAAACACAGGATCAGCCATACAGGGCTCAAAGTATGGGGACAAACAGGGAGAACTTGAAGTCCTAGTTCATGAGGACAAGTATGATATTGTTGCTTTACTGAAACTTGGTGGGATGGAACCCATGATTAGAACATACTGCTAGAATGCTATAAATTGTTCAAAAGAAGCAGACCTAACAAAAGAGAGGAGTTCTATTGTATATAAAGAATTACTGCATAAATATACAATACTAAGGATGAAAGCCTTCTTGAAAGTATTTTTATGAGCTTCAGAGGAAAAATAAATGACATTGTCATAGACGTGTACTACTAATCACCCAACCAAGTGGAGGAAATAGATGAACTTTTTGGTAATCAGTTAGCTGACACTGTGGTAATGGGGGATTTCAATTACCCCGACATCAACTTGGAAATAAACTCTACAGTGAATGGGAACTCAAATAGGTTCCTAAAGTGTCCGCTGACAACTTTGTCATGCAAAAGGTGGAGGAGTGAACTAGAGGACAGCTACAGAGCATTTAATTCTTACTAAGAGAGATGAAATGGTTAAGGGAGTGGAGGTTCTAAGAACTTTGGAGGAGAGTGACCATGTCATACTAGAAATATAACTGAACATAGTTAGACTAGAGTTTTATACTTCAAGAGAGCTGACTTCAACAAACTAAGAGAGAGAGAGATTAGGAAGGATTCCATGGATGGAACTCCTAGAGGGAAAAACAACTCAAGATAAAAACTCTGGGAAACGAGATAATGAAGACCTAAATAAAAACAATACAGGTAGTTCTCGAGTTACAACCTTGAGCCAGTCAGAATTGAACTCGTGGCAGTGGGCAGAATTAGCCAGAATACTGCATTCTAACACT